AATATTCCTTTCTATCCCACTCAAGTGTCTATTTTACAATAGTAGGCAAGGGAAACTAATATTCATAAGGCAGTCAAGGATTTTACTATTATTTACCCTCTTCAAGCTATACCTAGATCCCTGTATCCCAGAGCCCTGTTGTTTCAAGGTTGAATATGTATCACTATTTCCCTCTGTCCCACTAGGCCATGCAAACCTGTGTCAGTGTTCCCCTATGTATCTTGTTCTTTTGCCTCCTCCTCCCTTCTTGTATTACACTCCCCCAAACCCAAACTAAACCCACCACCGCAACCCCATTGTGGTTACCTTATATTCCATTAGTTCTTCTTTCCATTTAAGATATTCTATTTTATCCTGTTACCTACCTGACCTTCCCACCACCTGGATCTTTGTTCCTCTGTGTTTACCTTCTTTCACATTGTAATTGTTTTGATCATAGACTGACCTCTCAAATCCTCTGTTCTTATAATTTTATTCTGTTCTTGACTCTTCCATTTGTCAATTGAGTTCAGGGTGATGCTGCCACATATGTCATTCTGTAGTTGTTTTCTGTTCTTGTTGGTTCTCAGTCCACAGAACTTCCTTTAGGATGTTTTTCATAGCAGGGTTGGCTTTGACAAAATCCCTTAGCTTCTGTTTATGCTGGAATGTTTTGATTACACCATCATATTTGATTGACAGCTTTGCTTGGGTAGAGGATTCTTGGGTGGCAGTTTTTTTCTTTCAGGGTCTTATATATGTCTCCCCATTGCCTTCTTGCCTGGATGGTTTCTGTTGAGAAATCCGAGCTTAATATGATTTGCTTGCCTTTGTATGTTATACTTATCTTTTTCCTAGCTGCTTTCATGATGCTGTCTTTATCTTTGATTTTGGAGAGCTTGATTATTATATGTCTTGGTGATTGTCTTTTAGAGTCTATCCATCCTGGGGTTCATTGAGCTTTTTGAATGCTTATCTTTTCACTTTTCATGATGTTAGGAAAATTTTCTTCCAGAAGCTCTTCAACTATCTCTTCTGTGGACTTGTGTGATTGTTCCTGTTCTGGAATGCCAGTAATTCTTATGTTATTCCTCTTCATGTTATCCAACATGAATCTTAGGCCTTCTCCAGATTTTTTAATCCTCTTTTGTGTTTGCTCTTCTATCATAGTAGTGTTGAGAGATTTATCTTCTAGCTCACTAGTTCTGGCTTCTGGCTCTTCATTTCTTACTCCTTTGCCCTTTCGGTGTATTGTCCATTTCTGATATTCTATTATTAATCATTTGGACCTCTTTCTGTAGGTTTTGAATTGTTTCCAATGCTCTATCTATCTTATTTGATTGTTCCTGTAGCACATTCCTGACTTCTTCCTTATTTTTCTCAACTCCGTTATACAGTGTTTTGATACCTTTTATAATCATTTTTCTGAATTCCTTCTCTGTTATTTCCAAAGCCTGCCCATCTTCCAGTATGGAGTGCAGGTCTACTTCCAGCTCATTTGCCTCATCAGTTTATGTCGTTTCTGGACATGTGTAGATATGGTCATCTGCTTGTGTGTTTTGGGCATATTCAGGGGTTATATCTGGCCTTAATACTTTGATGAGTGTGTATTTTGGTATTTTTTATGCTTTCTGATTGCCTCCAGGTAGATGTGATCAGGAAATGGGCTTCCCTTTTCACTTTTCTTCTTGAGAAATTTCAAGATGCCACTGTTGGTCGTTTTGACATAAGTTAGGATTTAATTTTCAGCCTATTTCCTTTTTTGTCTGCTTGTCCCATTCCACAATCCCTGTTCAGGCCTTTTTTCTAGTTGTAAACAGTTCAGGGCTGGCTGTGGCCGTTTGTCTCTTTAAATTTTGAGGAGATCTGTGTGCATGCGTAGTAGAACCTTCCGAGGGTAGGGCTGGGGTGTCCATTAGCTCAGGCATACCTATAGTCACCAGAATGGAGGTGCGCCGACAGCAAGGGACCAGTGTGCAGGTACCAAAAGAAAAGAATGTCCACACCTTTACCTCCACGATTCTGTCAGGCATCTGTGGTTGCTCTGTTCCTTCCCCCACTTGGTCTCCCCCAAGATGGCGCCTCCTGGAGCAGCTGAGCATCTTGAATTAGAAAGGAATGGATTTCTTGCTTCTGCTACAAATTCCCCTAGCTGTAAGCCTACCAACCTTCTAAATATTCCTTTATATGTGGTTCAGAGTTCTGGGACCATCCACTGAGCCTGCTTGGTCCTGTATTCTGTGTTGTTGCTGACGGAACGCCTTAGTGCACGCCCACCTGATCCGCCATCTTGTTTGTTCTGTAGGTATTGTTTTTTACTTCATTGTTTTAAACTGTCTTTTTTGCTATTTTTAAGGACTTGTGGTAGGATGTTGAGGCTGATACATGTGTATAATTTTGCTCTCTTTCTCCATACTTAATTTCTTTAATGTGCTCAGTTATAAAAGACACTTGTGGTTGTGTGAAAGTCTTCATCTTTATTCCCATCTCCACCCCCTACATTCCATTCCTTAGCTGTTTCCAGTGGTTGTTTGGTGTGTATTCTTATGTATTTTTTCTATATATTTCTTTTTCCATTAAAAGAAAATATGCCTCGTTTGTTTTTCTTAGTATTTTCCCACACTTGTACCTGAAGAACTACTTTATTTCTTTTGATAGTTGCATACTACTCATATGTTGGAGTCCTAGTGTGGTGCAGTAGGAGAAGCAGTAGACCACAAAGTCAGTTTGGACTGCAAGGTCGGTGGTTCAGACTCACCTGGTGCTCCTTGGAAATCCTATACAGGGCCTCTGTGAGTGACAGCTTATTCGATAGCACTTCCTAGCAACAACAACACCAGTGTTATCAGTGGAAAGAATAAAAAGCCCAGTAATAAACATATGTATGATCAAGTGATTTTTCCACAAAGGTGCAAAGGCAAGTTAATGGAACAACTCACATGTCACCATATAGTAGAATTCTTTGTAGACATTAGTTATTTTTAAACAGTGCCATGAGAAATCAGTTTGTATCATTTGCATTATTCCTGTAGTCTCTGTGTTTTAAAAATGAGACAGATTTTTTATTTTAATGTGTTACTTCTTGAGCTGGAAACATAAAATTTCACAAGTTTATTGTGTGAGGGTGAAAAAATTTATGTGATGGAATTTATTTGGCATCTCTTTGGATATATGAAACTCAGAATGTGAGACCTAGCATGGTGCCCTGTGCATAGCAGGTGTTTAATATACAGGGACTCCTGGTGTGGCGCTATAGGATCAGCACTAGGTTGCGCACCACAAGGTCGGCAGCTGAAACCCACCAACTTCTCCTTAAGAACCCTATGCAGGGTTGCTGTGAGTCGGAGGTGATTCGATGAGACTTAACAGCAACATCTTTCACTCCTTTATTTCTGTCTCCTTACAGTTAATTGTAGGAGCTCTGGTAACGTAGTGGTTACAAATCAGGCTGTGAACCACAAGGTCAGCAGTTTGAAACTACCAGCTGTTCTGCAGGACAAAGATGAGGCTTTCTGTTTCCGTAAAGATTTACAGCCTCGGAAACCCTGTACAGGGTCGCTATGTGTCGGAACCGATTTCACAGCACCTAACAACAACAACACAGTTAATTGAGTCTCTCTTTTTTCTGCCATATTCTTTTAGGTTGTTTTTCTAAGATAACAGAAAGAATGATCTTTTTCAATGAGAAGTGTACGTGAAAGATTTCTGCCTTGAATTTCTGGGGACCAGAAAGTTGAATAGCGGAGTTTGTTGTGATTATCAACGTAAAATCTTAAAAATAAACAATAAATAAGTAAAAGTCTCGGGTTTTCTATTTTAGTAAACATGTTTTAGATTATCTCTTGTTGCCTTAGGGAAAATGTCTCTGTGAGGTTCTCGACACTGATTTATAGAAAAATCTTGGTTTCTTGACTGCTACTTCCATGAATGTTGATAGTTGATCCTAGAAGAATGCAGTCCTGTGGAAATCATCGGACAGTATCTTTGGTATCCCATTTGGGTAAAGTTTTACTGAAAGTAATGCAGAAACGGCTGCAAGCATATACTGACAGAGAACTTCCAGAGGTTCAAGCTGGATTCAGAAGAGGATGTGGAATGAGGGTTATCATTGCTAATGTCCGATGGATCTTGGTTGAAAGCAGAGAATATAAGAAAGATGTTACCTGTGCTTTATTGACTACACAAAAGAGGCAGCAACACCAGAGATGGAGGCAGAGATGAGGACATGAAGAGAGGAAGCAGCTGAGGACTCTAGATTCATGGAAACAGAAGACTGAATGCTGGAGGCCAGGAGGCAGGCTGGTAGAATGTGTCCTTTGGTTGCTTAAGTGATTATATATTCCTGAGTGTTTTTGTGTCCCCCCAAAAAACAACAACAAAACAAACAACGGGAATGGAAGCAAATAATGTTGGATGATGATGCACAGAGGAGATTGTAATCATTGTAATGAAACAATGAGCATTAAATCAATGTCTCCCATGTAAACTGTCACTCAGTTCACAATCAAAACTTAAAAAAAAGAAAAAGAAGAAAAAAAAAAACAACTGAAAAGTAGTTAAAAAAACAAGAATTACTATTCAGCTCATCAAAGAAAGAAGATACACAGATGGAAAATGAAAGATGATTTACATTTTTAGTCATTAGGAAATGAGACATGACGACGCTGTTAGAATGGCTAAAATGAAAACGAGGGTTGCTGATGACCTCCATGTAATCATCAGGGTGATATCCTTGATTTCCTATATGAGATTTGTTTTCAAAGGCTTTGTATCTCTGGGTCATTGGACTTGAATCACTAAACTTAGAGTGCTTCATGATGGTTTTATTGAATTTAATGGTGATTGTTGACAATTTATAAAATAGGGAAGATTTAGCCTGGCTTATTAGGAAGGATTCTCCTTTAAATATTTGACAGAGCATGAGAACTGTGGAAATTAGTTGCTTAAGTTCTGTTTTATGTTTCTGGGCTTTAAATTTTAGATAGTCACAAGTGGGTAATTATTCTCTGTGGTTGTTGCAGGTACTCTGTCCTCTAAACCAGCAGTGCTAGCCAATGGTGATCATGAAATAGAAGGAAATGACACAACAGGTAAGTCCAGGATTCCTCCAGTGTGTGGATCAAACAGTCTCCCTCAGTAAACACTGATAAGCCCCTTTGAGGATGGTTCTTAGTAGAAGCATATAACTCATTCAAGGGTTTTTGTTTTTTTCCTTGTGGGATGCGTTTAAACCAAGGACTTCTGCCACATAAAATATCAAACAAAGGAAAGTGAAAATGAGTTTCCTTTGATATTACTTGAGTATTTTTATACAGTTACACCATACAATAGCTATGGCAATATCAAATGCTTCTATGTTGTTATTGTTAAATGCTGTGGAGTCAGTTCTGACTCACTGACACTGTATAGGACTTCTCAGGAGCGATTGGTGGGTTTGAACGCTTACCTTATGTTAGTAGTCAAGTGCTTATCCTTCCCGTCACACCAGGACTCCAATAAATGCAGAATAAACATAATTGAAATACATTATATTTAGAGGCCTTTGCCTACTACAACTTTTTAAGGCAGGTCTGGTCTCTGAATGCACACTATCCTTAGCTTGCTTTAGGAAACCTGTGAGTTACAAATTACAAATTCTTTTTTCTTTTGCCCAGAGTCTCTTTCCTGTATCTTTCTCATAACCAGTGCTTTAAAAAATTGTCATTAACTGTATCTCCTAGCCTATTAACTTAAAAAAAAAGAAAAAATCTGTTGCCACTGAGGCAACTTTGGCACATGACACCCCACCAAGTGTCAGAGGAGAGCTGTGCATAGGGGGTTTTTTTGCATTGGGTTTTCAATGACTGGTTTTTCTGAAGTCAGTTGCCTGGTCTTCAAGGCTCCTCTGGTTGGACTTGAACCTCCAATCTTTTGATTAACAGATGAGTGTGTTGTAGCACTCAGATTCTTGTGGGTTCCTGCTTCATAACAAGCACCATCCCTATGCCTCAGTATTCTTTTAGTGAGCACACTTCTTGAAGACATTTCTTGAAGGATTCCTTCAAGAAATCCACAGCAAGTACTATGAAAATCTTTTCTTAGCTAGCTGACATGAGTCATGTGCTATCAACGTCAGTCTGATGTGATATTTTTATAAATAACTTCACTTAATTTGCATTTGTGATCAGTCTTACACTGTTGACCCAAATGAGTTGTCTTCTAATAATTAAGTAGATTGTTCTCTGCAGAGTATGCTCTTAACTGGGACCTGACATTTTATTCATATCACAACTGTGTGAACAAGAGCCATACACAAATTGTTTTTGTGGTTCTTTTCTTACACACATAACTCAGCCTTAAGTGCCCACAGGATTTCTTGGTTTTTAAGACTTCCAAAAAGCTTTCTATTAGCAATGGCAGTTATTTCAGGATTTGCTTTTTATCCTGTGACCTTACAGAATGCTGTATCTCTTTATACCTCACATTTATTGAGAATAGGTCCTCTTTGTTGTGAAGGGTATTTTTATCCAGTGACATTAACATCCTTCCTAGCAATTCTTTACTTTAAAAATAAAAACTACCAGATGTGCTACCCTAATCTTCCAGTTTTGTGAACTGAAATTTTGGTATTTGATAATCTTATTCTTAAATAATATTGACCATTTCTTTGCCTGCTTTGAAAGTAATTTTCTATGTAGTTTGGTTTTAATAAAACATTTATAAATATAGCCCCCCACACAAATAGAAGAAACTTGAACATGAGATTTTTTTTTTTTTAAATAAGTAATTTCAGTTTGATTTATCCAAGAGTCAGTGCCATGAGAAGGGAAGTTTGAGAGAAGGATTGATTTGCTTAGCCAGCTGTAAAAGTGGATGCTATTTTCATCCAGAGAAGGAAGAATTATGAATACTAGAGTGGATATCTTCTCCAGCAGGATATCAAGTCTGATCACAAGAGTGATGAAACTCAAATTCTGTGTAGTAATTGTTCCCCACTGCCATATCTTTATAGTGTGACAAAAAGAACAGGAAAAACATGTAGCCTGGCCCTTACTGTTTCAAGACTTTAGTTCTGGAGACTTAAAAAGAACACACCTATTTATAAAGCATCCGATGACAGCAGGTCTTACTGTTCTTGGGCCACCTCTTTACTGTCGAGTGAAAGTATGGTTTACACAATTGGGTGGGTGTTTGGGTTTTGAATTTGATCTCTTGACTATTGCATTGCTGAAGATTATATGCCTGTTTCCTTGGAGGGAGGAAGGAATAGAGTATAAAGGGTGCATGTTTTTCAAGCATGTTGTGAATTAATTCTAATTTGGCTGTCATTAACCAACAACATCAACAGACATCTAGCTCAATTCCACTTTGAAAATTACCATTTCTGTTTTCTTTGGAATTTAAATTGTAGTCCTGAGAGCAGTCTGGCTCCACTGTTAGCGTATAAAGGGTTTATGAGTATCTTGCTATGTTGAACTTGCTATTTACTAATAACCTGTGCTTTTCCACCCTTCCCCTTCCCACTTCTTCCTCCCTTTCTATTTTTCTCCTCCTAGAAGCCTAGCGTGTCTCTCAATACTGGGGCTGCTGCAACACCAGACCAGTGATATTTCCTAAGCATCGTTATACTTCTAAAACCTTCAACATTTTGCAAAGCTTTGCTTTTCATTCCTGGACACGATTTAGAAGAAGCTGAGGGTAGTTCTCCGGGGCCTATTTCTCCTGATGCCTGAGCAAGCCACCTGCTTCCCTTTGCACTCTGCAGGGCTTGTTGGAACCTCCTTTCCCTTTGTGAGCACAAAGTGCAAGATGCATTCTTTTTAAATTGGGTATTTTTATAAAAGTCATCTAATATCTTTTATTTCTTTTTTTTTCAAACTCATTTTATCATTTACTTCAGCCTTACAGTTTCCTTTTCTTTAATTAAAAATTTTTTGCTTGACCTTTTCCGTTAGCTTTTCAAATCTTCACCATGAATCAAGGTTATTTATTATAACATCAAATGAGAACATGTGCTTCCATAAAGGGGCTGAGTCCACCAGAACTGCAGTGAACCTTCCTTTTCCTCTCCCTTACTTTTCCATCTGTGAGCTTGCTTTCCCCCAACCCCACTGTCAATCAAGTTGATTCTGACTCTTAGCAATCATGTATGAAGTGTTTGAGGCTGTAAATCTTGGAGCAGAGACCCTCACCTTTCTCCTGTGGAGCCACTGGAGAATTTGAACTGCTGACCTTGTGGTTTGCAGTCCAGTGCTTATCCTATAGAGCCACCTAGGCTCCTTGAGCTTGCTTTTGGGGAAGGGTAATCTTTCAGGAGGATCCCTGGTAGTACCATGATTGCAGTGCTTGACTACCAGAAAGGTCAGCAGTTCAAACCCACCAACTATTCCTAGGGAGAAAAATACGTGGCAATCTGCTTTCATGAAGCTTTACAGTTTCTAGAATCCTTTGGCGCAGTTCTACTCTGCCTCTTAGGGTCACTGTGAGGTGTAATTGACTTGACAGCAGTGAATTTGGGTTTTGGGGGAATCTTTCAGGCTACCTAAATTTCTCTCCATCATACTAAAATTTGAATAAGAATAGCTACTTTTTCTAATTTAGAGTTGGAGTCCTGGTGTGGCGCTGTGGATTAACACACTGGACTGTAAAGTCAATTTGAACCGCAAGGTTGTCGGTTGTAGCTCACTAGCCACTCCTTGTAAACCCTATACAGGAATGCTATGGGTCAGAACCGACTCAACAGTACATAACAACAACAATTTAGAGTTGCTTTGATTAAAATTTTAAAAATATTTTTCCAAATGAAATCATCTCTTGTTATTTGCAGCTGAGTCATAATTGTTTGTATTGAACTTATATATTTATCTAGGCTTAGATTTCCCCTAGTAAATTACAGCCATATTCTAGTGTATTGAATTTTAGAGAAAAATTACTTTTTAATGTGATCATGAACTATCAAAATAAGAATTCAGAAGTTAAATGGAACGAAGTTATAATGTGTGTGAGCCCTGTTTTATTAGAATAGTGGAATGTTGATACAGATAGAAAAACTTTTTCTGTAATAACACCAAAAAGGGACCATACTGTTTTTTTACCAAGGAAAATGATTGTGTGATTGGATTCAGGCTATATTCTAGATTAGTATCTCCTTGAATTCTGGAGGTGCCTTGATGTAGTATTTAATATGCTACTAGGATTCATTTGAAACTCATGAGCATGTGTTTCAAATTCTTAACTGTGAGCATTAGCATTTACATTCACACATTCTGATATTTCTCACACTCTGATTATTGCTGTGAGACTTTTTTATTTTTGTTCTTCAGTTTCTACACTGATAGCTAAAAAACTTAGAACCATTTGGAGTAAGTACTATGAAACTTCACCCATGAAAAGCTGTAATCAGAGTTTTGGAAATAGAGTATGAATCATGGACAACGTTATGAAGTCTTAGTAGAATTTTGGTTTAAGATTTGGAATAGTGTGAAATACTCATTTTGATTTTCTGTCCTCTTCCTGATTATGGAGATTTGTATAACCTCCAAGCTACTGGTTATTTCAAGTCAAAAGACATACAGTGGCACCATCTTCTGACAAAGGTTTAATACATTGTGTTAGAGACTCTCTGATACACAACTACTTCTGGTTATAAAATCAGATTTTCATACAAGTTTTAATGAGATCTCTGTAATGACTTCTAGAGTTTAGTAAGCAGTTCTCTCTTATATAAGGATCTTAGGGAATGGTTTCTCTGTTAAGATTTCCTTCTGTGAATTCTGAGTGGAAAACGCTTGATGGAGGCCCAGTTGATAAAATACCAAATCTTACTTAGGGGAGGACCCCCTTAAAGTAAAATACAGCTCTTTCCCTTTGGTATGCAATTGTTTAGCAAGTTGTTGCTGTTGGGTATGGCCAGAGAACTTTACAAAACGAGTAACCCTGGCTTCTTAAAATTAAGTTTAAAACTATTCTCTCTATTCTAACCAGTCTCTGTAGCTGTTCTAAATGACAGGTGGTTGAGGACTCTGAATTTAGCTCTCCTGATGTAGTTTTCAAAGGTGCACTACACTCATACTTCATCATTGACATTGATTTATTCCACATTTATTTCCTT